AGCCAGTATTCCTTTAGTCTAAGGAAAGGCTAAAGAATAATCTTATTAAGTATCTGATCAAGGGAGGATCAGATAAGGGAGACATCCCTGTATTGAAACTTTGTTTTGTAATAAGTGCTTCACCTCAGGAAGATACTGTGTAACCTGAAAGAGTGTAACATTCAACTAACCAAGCATTGTTCTAAGTTCTATAACAAAAGTTACGTCTTGCAACCACACGCTGTGTACTTAATAAAATTGTTAACTTTTATTTGAAGATTGCCTCAGCTCCGTCTATTCTGTGTACCAAGTGCCATTTCTCACAATATTACAACTTACCTCACATGGTGGCAGAAACGCAGGGAAAAGTAACCAAATGAAACTACATTCTTCTCTCCAGTCACGCTACAGTATATACAGTGTAATTACTACTAAGTTATTACTTTCTTAATAAAGGAGGAGGTGCAATTGAACAGCCTTCCTTCCAACTTGATGGTAAATTTGGTTCCTAATCGGCAACCTCCATTGCAAATCGGCCAGTTCTTTTTAGAATTGGGAACTGGGGTGAAATCTCCTGAATACTGGATCCTTTCAAATTGGAGGCAACAATAAATTATCCCTCAGCTCCCTTGCTTCTTCGCAAGACCATTGGTTCAAACACTAGGATTCTGATGACTGGATGTCATGACTATACATTGCCAAGGGAGTGTGAGCTGCATTCAAAGTATATTCTCTCCGTATCTGAACTCACAGAAAGGGGTTTAACAGGTTGCCTAACCCTGGCTTAGAAAATAAAAAGTTCAGTCTTACCTACTGGAACCTTTTTCCAGGTTGTTATTAGCCGCGGTTCCTGATTCATGACAGTGCCGATTTCTGAAGCCCACGTGTCTCCAGCGCAGCAGGCTAAAGCCCCCAAGAGGGACAGACACATCCAGGATGCAGTATACTGTTTAGAAAAGTCTACTGGAATTTCACCTGGTCCATTTTCAATCATGTACAGCAGAGCCAGTTCTGCAGGTACACCACCATTGCAGAACACTTGCACCCAATTTCTCTGTCCACCTATGTACAGGTAGGGAAATTAGAAGGTTAGCTCATAAGTAGTAGGAAGTTCTTTCTAATATTCAGGTGGAATCTTCTTTCCTGTAGTTTGAAGCCATTGTTCCACGTCTTAGTCTGAAAACAAGCTTGCTCCCCCCTCCCTATGACTTCCACTCACAAATTTATACATAGTCATCATGTCTCCTCTCAGCCTTCTCTTCTGCAGGCTAAACATGCCCAGCTATTTAGGCCGATCTTCATAGGGCTTGTTCTCCACACCCTTGATCATTTTAGTCACCCTCGTCTGGACACATTCCAGCTTGTCAACATCTCCCTTCAATTAGGGTGCCTAGAATTGGACACAGTATTCCAGGTATGGTCTGACCAAAGCAGAATAGAAGGGTCACATGACTTCCCTGGATCTAGACACTATACTCCTATTTATGCAGGCCCAAATTCCATTGGCTTTTTTTTGCCACCACATCACATTGTTGGCTCATGTTTAACCTGTTGTCCACGAGGACTCCAAAATCTTTTTCACACGTACTGCTGTCAAGCCAGGCATCCCCCATTCTGTATCTTTGAATTTCATTTTTTTATGTCCAAGTGGAGTATCTTGCATTTGCCCCTGTTGAACTTCACTGTGTTAGTTTTGGCCCATCTCTCCGTTATGATCGTTTGAATTCTGCTCCTGTTTTCTGGAGTATTGGCTATCCCTCCTAATTTGGTGCTGTCTGCAAACTTGATGATCATGCCTTCTACCCTTCATCTAAGTCAGTAACAAAGATGTTGAACAGGACCGGGCCCAGGATGGAACCCTGCGGCACTCCACTTGTCACTTCTTTCCAGAATGAAGAGGAAGCATTGGTGAGCATCCTTTGGGTTCTGTCACTTAACCAATTACAGATCCACCTAACTGTTGTTTTACCTAGTTCACATGTGACTAGTTTGTTTGCCAGAAGGTCATGGGGAACCTTGTCAAAGGCCTTACTGAAATCCAGATACACTACATCTACCCAGCTTGTAATTTTTTTTGTATCTATTGTTTCTTCTGGTGATCTGAAGGTGAAATACATGCCCTCTCTTGACTTGTTTTCCTCATAATAAAAACCCTGGTTTTGTTGTGAAAGCTGACAAATAAGAAACTGACCCACGGTCATATAGTAAATTCTATGGCAATGTGAAGATTAGGATATCTATGTCTCAATCAAATACCATGCTAATTCTCAATTATTTATTACAAATCATTGCTGCTTTTCTTATTAATTAAAAGCAAAGACGATAACTAATTATGTGTTCACTGCTTGCCCAATACTTCATTTGGGTAATTTATTGTAACCCAACAAAATGAAGATGGTGCAATAACACATTTCCCTAAGATTGCATGAAGAATTTGCTTATTAGCAGAGGAAAACTGACAAAAATAGCTTCTACACACCTTGGCCTGCAATGGCTTTCTGGATCCTAGTTTGCAGAGTAAGATTCACCTATTCACATCTTTTGACTTCCATACAGTTTAATCACAATTTTAGTTGTCAGCTGTCTTCAAAATTAATTTTAAACTTTACCTTCTTTATATTCAGGGTCTATTTGCTTCTTTACTTCTCCTTTCCACTTGGTCAGTTTGGAAGAAGTGATGAAAAACATAAGCATGGCAGTGAAGAAGCTGTAATTTGCAACTGTGAGGATAAATCCAACTATTAAACCTGAGAAAGATGGGGAAATGACATGTTAGTTCACACAATAATGTATTGGAAGGCAATCAAAATTGTGTGTGTAAGAAAAATCCCTGATGCAATGCTCATTTCTTTCCTCTCACAATTCATTGTCTTTTGTGTATCAGAAAAATAAAATAAAAATAGTGAGCCTGTGGGAAAGAAATATCTTCTCTTTAAATCTCCGCAAACGCTTTTTTTAAAGCTCACCATTTTCTAAGTAAACAACAGAAACAATAAATATAATTCAATTATACTTGAAAAAAGCAGCATATTTTGTAAATGTAACAATTTATAACATGACTTTGTTCACTTTTTTGTCTCAGACTAAATGTTCAGTTCTTTCCTTTTCTCCTTCCTTTCATATTTCTGCTATCTTCCTTCCTGATTTCACCTCATTTTCTGTCCTCTGAGAAGTGGGTTTTGAAAAATTGTTGTGGAAACAAGGATGAGTGATACAGCTTCAACGGAGACATCTTTTCCTCATGTGAACTCTTTCAGGAGTGTTATTTCCCTTCCTAGGGGGAGATTTAAATTTGTACAGATTCCTAGGAGGCGATTTCTCTCACTTTATGTTGTCTCACCCCGTTCTTAACTGTGAGTTGTTTGTAAGTTGGGTATTATAACTTGGAGACTACCTATACTTTGTGTAGTAGGTAGACTAAAGGCTCCTGTGTCCATTACACAGTTGGGAGATCCAGCAATGCTACACTGGCATATTTTTACCCTACCTGTAAATCTGCCCTACAGTTCTGTTTCAATTCTCATGAAACTTTCATCTACAATTACTTTTTCTCCTGTCACATTAAATGTTAAATTTGTAGAGATTGCAACTTATATGTCAAAGGCCATCAAACATTTTGCTGGAAATGACAACCTTCTTCAAGCGTGTTCTAGTAATGCTTATCCATTATCCTGTAGCTTAGTGTTTCCTGTACATATGTTCTGGTATGCAGCTTCCTTTATTCTATGATTTCTGAGAAGTTATAAAAGGGGCTGCAGATGCTCTCTCTTTTTCTCTCTCCTTTTGACTGTGTGACCTATTGATAGCTGTTTTGTTATAAGAGAGATTTACTGGCCAGATAGAACAGAGAATTATCTCAAACATTACTGAAACTGGACTGATATGTTTTGTACCTGTGTATGCTGAACACATTAAGGTTGTGAGTAAATCAAATATGTTATGTTATCAAAGTCTACTTCATTTTTGTCTCTTGAGTGCATGATATAAAACATGTTGTTTTATGGGAGAGCATACACACATACATATATGGCACTGAAAAACACTTATGCACTGACAAAATCTCTGTTTTCTTAACATATCTGAGATAACAGGTTATTCAGTCTAACAACTGAAACCACTGCCTTGCACAATTGTATCTGGTTGTATACCACAAGAGAAGATTCTACTCTAAAGGGCTTTTGGCTCTTCTCTGAAAGGTCATGCTTTTCTAAAAAGTTATGATCTCCAAAAGGTGTTTTTCAAAAGGTTATAAATTTCATTTTCCAAAACATTTCTTCATCCATAAAGTTGTTGAATTTAAACCCCTCTCCATGTCTAGTTAATAGACCTGTACATCTTGACCTGTCTGATGTGCAAGACTGACAATTTCCCCCTTCAATATGGCAGGATTTTTTTTACTACATTTATACCTGCTGGTTACAACTGATTTTCCCCTTGCTATTTTATTACCACTAAAAGATTGATGTTATACCTATTTTGTATGCCTATATAACTGGAATCACAAAAAAAAAAAAAAATTCAGGCCAAAGAGGGCCCAAGTGGAAAAGTTTAACAAACTCTGTTTTTGAATGTGTCCCATCACCTTTCTATATCACAACCAACCTACTGACAGTACTAACTTTGCTAACTGTGACCATGACGCTGTTGGCGAAAGTAAAGTTGCATTAACAATATGGAATTGGGTGAGGGGATGACAGAAAAACAACATTCTGTCAGGAGAGAAACAGCTCAGAATCTAACACAACCACTTTCCTTAGTGACAGGGAAAACCCTTCTCTGCAACTGTTACACTTCTGGCTAGAAAATGTCTACATCATTTACTGAATCAACCACTTGGTAACAATAACTATCATAAAGAGCCTGTAGTATTTGCATACTAGTTTAAACATCAACCAAAAACATCAAAGTCAAAAATCCTTAATGGTAATAATGTGCCACTGAAGGATGGACATGTATGCCATCAATGTATTTCCAAAATATATGCAAAATCAAAATTGAGGCTCAAAAACATACCTCCCAGTGCTCCTCCATGATCAAGACTCTTTTTCTTAAATCCTCTCGAAGCAATGGTTAATGGAATTAAGATTGAGAAAAGCCATCGCCATGGAGAAATAGGTCGCAAAGTACCTAAAGTGATTTAAAAATACAAAGAGCATTCAGTTTGTCATAAACTACAAGAAAAGGAAGATTCCTCTGTACATTCCACAATGCTGGCATTGAACCCATGAGGCTTTTGCTCATTTCTTTATACACACTGCTGAATTACATATATACTCAAGTATAAGGCGACCCGAATAGAAGACGAGGCACCTAATTTTACCAAAAAAACATGGGAAAACGTATTGACTCGAGTATAAGCCAAGGGTAGGAAATGTGGCAGCTAATGGTAATTTTCAACATAAAAATTGCATTAGTTGAGGCATCAGTGGGTTAAATGTTTTTGAATATTTACATAAAACTGTAATTTAAGATAAGACTTTTCAACTCTGATTATTCTAACCTTCTTCAATGTAAATGTGCTTATGTAGCCTTCCAATAATAACAGAGTAAAATAATAAATGTAATAATAAATAATAAGAGTAAAATAAAAATGTAATAATAGTGTAAAATAATAAATGTAATATTAACAATAGAGAAAAAATAACAAATGTAATAATAGAGAAAAATAATAAATGAAATAATAATAATGAAAAATAATAAATGTAATAAAAATAATCACAATAACACAGTAAAATAATAAATAACCTTGACTCGCGTATAAGCCGAGGGGAGCTTTTTCAGGCTTAGAAAAGGGCTGAAAAACTTGGCTTACGCTCAAATATATATGGCAACCTTTCCCTTGGTCAGTTCTCTGCACTCTACAAATAGTCTAGGATCCACTGCAAACCAGAGTAAATGGCTCTTCTTGTAAACTGGGCCTTTGTGTTCATTGCCACAATGTAAGCATGTTTAATCATGCTTACAATCTCAGAATTCAAAGAAGATTTCACCATGATTGGGAAAGATTGAGTTGCTTGGCTTGCTATCTTCCAGTATTCTTCATCTTCCTGGTGAGAATGTATGCCTGGAGTAGAGTCTATTTCATCACCATACAAGCTAAACCTGTTTTGGGAGAACTTACCAAAATCGCTCCATGCGTTTTCAGGGGGGGGGGCGACGTAGACAAAGATAAATATTATAAAGGTCCATGTTCACGTACTACAATGGATAAGACTGGTAATATTCTAGTATCCAAGTTTAACAAACTATAGTACTTCAGAAAAAAAAAAACATTACCATAATAAGTACTTGCAGTCATGGACACAATCCAAAATGATAAGGAAATGCAAATCAGGACACTCAAGATGATAATATTTGTTATCATTTTGAAATAATTTTTGTTGAAGTCGTCCCATGAATAAAAGAGCATGGAAAATCCGAGGCAAATCACCTGTATGAAGAAGCAAGGATGCCAGTGTTTAACAAGAAACAGAATCTCACATCAAACATGGAACAAGCAAGACAGATACTCCATCTGCAATATATAATCAGTAATCAACCAAAACAAACCATTTCACTAGTTCAAGTTGACCCTGATCAGTATGGTGGTACATTTTATTTTTTACTTTCATAAAAAGATAGGAAATCTTTTTTTTTAGTAATCATGTCACTATTATTAGGCATCAACAGATACTTCCCATGGAATACATTTATGCTCTTGCTATGAATGCATACATTTCTATGTATAGGCTTATTCTTGTACATGCAGTTTGCACATGTTTTCTTTGTAATTGTTTATTTTGTAACTTTAGCTGTCTGCCTTTGATCATTTGTAAAGCTTATCTATGTAAGAAACTATGCAATTTTAGTCCAAACTGTAAGTGATGCCACGGCAGCTGTTCGTTTTGTCTCGTGTCATAGAATCATAGAATCATAGAATCAAAGAGTTGGAAGAGACCTCATGGGCCATCCAGTCCAACCCCCTGCCAAGAAGCAGGAATATTGCATTCAAATCACCCCTGACAGATGGCCATCCAGCCTCTGTTTAAAAGCTTCCAGAGAAGGAGCCTCCACCACACTCCGGGGCAGAGAGTTCCACTGCTGAACGGCTCTCACAGTCAGGAAGTTCTTCCTCATGTTCAGATGGAATCTCCTCTCTTGTAGTTTGAAGCCATTGTTCCGCGTCCTAGTCTCCAGGGAAGCAGAAAACAGGCTTGCTCCCTCCTCCATGTGGCTTCCTCTCACATATTTATACATGGCTATCATATCCCCTCTCAGCCTTCTCTTCTTCAGGCTAAACATGCCCAGCTCCTTAAGCCGCTCCTCATAGGGCTTGTTCTCCAGACCTTTTATCATTTTAGTCGCTCTCCTCTGGACACATTCCAGCTTGTCAATATCTCTCTTGAATTCATGCTGTATTCATGTACAAAATAAATGACTGTATCTGGTTTTTAGACAAAACTGAGTGAATGGGTGAGGAGAGGTTAAGCACATTTCATTCCACAGCTGAACACTGAAAGATTCATCGTACCCCCCCACCCCCCACCCCTATTTCCAGTAGTACAGCCATCCTGGGGGGAAAGGACTTGAATTGAAAATCACAGGAAAATTAAGAGGAATTTCAAATCTTCTTGCCCTTTGGGAAGGTGATTGTCACACAAGAAGGAAAAGCAGACAACATGCTAGTTTCAAGTTAACTGTCACCCATGGGATTTAAGCCGAGTTATTTATTTATTTATTTATTTATTACAAATAATGAATGTCATAAAAAGAATAGTTAGAGTAGAAATCACATTACAGCCTGGGCACCCAAAATCCAGATTTGTCCATGTGGGTGGCTGAAATAGTGACCCCTTTGCTTTCTGATAACACACAAACTTTGTTTCATGCACAAGATTATTGAAACTATTGTACAAAATTGCCTTCAGCTATGGTACTATAAAATATATAAATATATAGTTATCATATTATTATTATATTACATTACATTATAATATTATAAATATTATATGTATACACATATTATATTATTAGAATATGTGCATCTAGAAACAACAGAAGTAACCTAGTTTCTTTAGAAATATTGTTTTTATCTTAATGCAGTTTTAATTGATTTTTCTAATAAAGCAAACTACCTGCAACAAAAAAAGCTTGATCAGAATCACCATCAGGGGTAAAGGGCAGAGTTCACTAGCTGCTGCCAGAATGTTCTGGCATTACTTATGCCCAGAAAATACTTTGGTGCAGACATTGCAAGGCATTACCATGCAGAACTCAATATACTAGTTGAAACAAGACCACCATGAATTGAAATAACATTGAAGCCAATGTAACTACCCCAGTCTTCTTTCACAGAGTTCTAGAAACAATGCTTTTGTGATACTGCTGAGGATATTTTTGATCCAGATTGTTGGGCAATTCTTAGAACACTGGTTCCCATGGTCCCCACTGTTGGTTGAGAACTATGGAAGATAAAGCAATTTACTCCTTCCATCTTGCATTGACAGAATCAGAGTTGGAAGAGACCTTGTGGGCCATCCAGTCCAACCTCCTGCCAAGAAGCAGGAAAATCACATACAAAGCATCTCCCACAGGTGGACATACAGCCTCTGCTTAAAAGCCTCCAAAGAAGGAGCCTCCACCACACTGCGGGGTAAAGAGTTCAACTGCTGAACAGCTCTCACTGTTATAAAGTTCTTCCTAATGTTCAGGTGGAATATCCTTTTCTGTAGTTTGAAGCATTGCTCTGCGTCCCAGTCTCAAGGGAAGCAGAAAACAAGTATGCTTCCTCCTCCCTATGAATTCCCCTCACGTATTCATACATGCTCATCGTGTCTCCTCTCTCAGCCTTCTCTTCTGCAGGCTAAACATGCCCAGCTATTTAAGCCGCTCCTCATAGGGCTTATTCTCCAAACCCTTGATCATTTAGTCGCCCTCCTCTCGGTACATTCCAGCTTGTCAACATCTCCCTTCAACTATAGACATAGTATTTCAAGGTAGAATAGAGGGGTAGCATGACTTCCCTGGATCTAGACACTATGCTCCTATTTATGCAGGCCAAATTCCCATTGGCTTTTAAAACTGTTGCATGACATTTTTGGCTCATTTTCACCTTCCTGTCCACAAGGGCAAGATCTTTTTCACATATACTGCTGTTGAGCCAGGTACCCCTCCCATTCTGTATCTTTGCATTTCATTTTTTCTGCCTAAGTGGAGTATCTTGCATTTGTCACTGTTGAACTTGATTTTGTTAGTTTTGGCCCATCTCTCTAATCTGTTAAGATTGTTTTGAATTTTGTTCCTGTCTTCTGCAGTATTGGCTATCCCTTCCAATTTGGTGTTGGCTGCAAACAGGAAGAGATATATAAGCTTCCAAATGTGCTGGACTTCAACCCTACCCAATGGCAAGCAACGATGAAAATGAAGTCCAAACATACGCGAAGCCCATGGTTCCTCACTCCTGCCTATTTTAATATGACAGGTTTACTATGATATAAGCTTCCATATTTCACATTTCTGTTACACTTATCTTCATTTTCCAATATATAAATCCTTCCCAAGCAGATTTAGAAATATGATTGGCACTCTATATCAGGCATGGGCAAACCTAAGCCCTCTAGGTGTTTTGGACTTCAACTCCTACAACCCCTAACAACCTGTGGGAGTTAAAGTCCAAAACACCTGGAGGGCCAAAGTTTGCCTATGCCTGATATATATGTGTGTGTATTGGTTGGTTTGTACCAGGAAGGGTCTCAAGCTTTCTCTGCCAAGGAATGCTGGTGCCACAAGCTACAGGATTCCATATCCCTGAGCCATGGCAGTTAAAGAGATGTCAAAATGTATTAATTCGATAATGCTGACATACTCTAAAGCAGCATTTCTCAACCTGGGTGTCGGGACCCTTGGGGCGGGGGTCCCCAGGTGGTATCAGAGGGGTTGCCAAAGACCATCAGAAAACAGTATTTTCTGTTGGTCATGGGGGTTCTGTGTGGGAAGTTTGGCCCAATTCTAGTGTTGGTGGGGTTCAGAATGTTCCTTGATTGTAGGTGAACTATAAATCCCAAATTCAAGGTCTATTTTCCCCAAACTCTACCAGTGTTCACATTTGGGCATATTGAGTATTAGGGCCAAGTTTGGTCCAGATCCATTATTGTTTGAGTCCACAGTTCTCTCTAGATGTAGGTGAACTACAATTCCAAAACTCAAGGTCAATGCCCACAAAACCCTTTCAGTATTTTCTGTTGGTCATGGGAGTTCTGTGTGCCACGTTTGGTTCAATTCCATCATTGGTGGAGTTCAGAATGCTCTTTGGTTGTAGGTGAACTATAAATCTCAGCAAGTACAACTCCTAAATGACAAAATCAATCCCCCCCTCCACCCCATCGGTACTCAAGTTTGGGCGTATCAGGTATTTGTGCCAAATTTGGTCCAGTGAATGAAAATACATCCTGCATATCAGATATTTATATTACGATTCATAACAGTAGCAAAATTACAGTTATGAAGTAGCAACAAAAATAATGTTATGGTTGGGGGTCACCACAACATGAGGAACTGTATTAAGGGGTCGCAGCATTGGGAAGGTTGAGAAACACGGCTCTAAAGACTATGGGAAGGAGAGCCATTTATGCCGCAGTGAAAGCAGGATACAAATACAGCTTGAGTGTCTCTTATCTGGAAATCTGAAATGCTTCAAAATCCAGGGGCTGAGACAGTGACACCTTTGCTATGTGACAGCTCAGTGTACACAATTGTGTTTCATGCACAAAGATTACAAATATTGCGTGCCAAAATCAGCTATAAGGTACATATGTGGAGTTTGTGTTTCGCCTTGGGTCCCACATCCCAAGATTATGTATAGCGAGTACGGGCAAACTTTGGCCCTCCAGGTGTTTTGGACTCCAACTTCCACAATTCCTAACAGCCCACCGGCTGTTAGGAGTTGTGGGAGTTGAAGTCCAAAACACCTGGAGGGCTTAAGTTTGCCCATGCCTGATGTATAATCATATTCCAACATCCCAGAGAAAATCCAAAACACTTGTGGTCCCATCTCCCCAAATGTCTCACTTTGCATATGCTATACATATTTTTACATATGTTATCCACAAGGACTCCAAGATCTTATTCCTTTTGCTGAAAAGGATTCTATATACATAGAATATTATGGAATTCTTATTATTCCATTTTGATGCTAAAGTGGGCCCTGGGTATCCACAACCTCCGAGGATGCCTGCCATAGATGCAGGCGAAACATCAGGAGAGAATGCTTCTGCAACATGGCCATATAGTCCGAAAAACCTACAACAACCCATGCCATACATAATTGGGATTCACAGGCCTTTCGGGTAAAGGAGACTCAACCTCTGGGTGCATCCACACTGTAGAATGAATGCACTTTAACACCACTTTGTCATGGCTGAATGCTATGGAAATCCAGGGAGTTGTAGTTTGGGGAGGGCATCAGCACTCTTGGGAAGGGAAAGCTAAGGACCTTGTAAAACTACAACTCCCATAGCACTGGGCCATGGCAGTGAAAGCGGTGTCAAACTGCCTTCGTTCATTCTACAGTGTAACCCTAAGAAGGATGCCTGAGAGAAAGTTCCTCGCTGGGGAAGGGGAGGGAAACCCGTGTATCGCGTTCACACGTGACGGAGCCGATTGGGGAGGGAGAGACGCGTGTCAAATGCCTTCATTCTACAGTGCAGCCTATGTAACTGTAAGAAGGATGCCTGAGCGAAAGTTCCTCGCTGGGAAAAGGGAGGGAAACCCGTGTCTCGCGTTCACACGTGACGGAGCCGATTGGGGAGGGAGAGACGCGTGTCGTGGTGACGATGGTTGTCTTCTACCCACCAGAGAGGCGCCTGGGGCTGGCCTCGATCTTCCCAGTCCGTCTGAGGAGGCGAGAGCCCCTCCATCAGGCTCCCCATCCAAACGCCGCCGCCTCCGACAGCCACAGCGGGCCCATGAACAGAAGCGACATAGATCTACGAATCGTGAAGACGTGCTTAAGGACGTATCACTTGTGAGCTCGCTTTCCACAAGCTATCATACACAGACCCATGCAGGGTTGTGGGTGATCAAGATCTCTTCTCAATTAGACCTTTCCTGAACAGAAGCCTTAGCCCCTCCTTAAACTATAGAGCCCACGATTCCATTACTCATAACACAGTACTATCAGGACTGTGTTAGCCTAAATTCGGCACCAAGGAGTCTCATTAGTTCCCTGTTCTATGGTGCATCGAACATTTCCTGTCTCTGCCCGGGACTCTAGATCGCATGCGCGAAAGTTGGCCATGCGTTCGAACCACCCAGCTCTTCTCTTGCTGAGGCAGATCCACCTTTCCGGAAGGAAGGGAGGTGCCTCTTCCTCCCCCAAATTTCTCCAAACACACACCCCAAGCCATTTTTATAAGCACCCTGCCTGTCCTTCTTGCCACATTAAAAGCTGACACTTGCTTTAAAAATTCGCTTACATATACATTTTGTATATATTTTGGATTATATTTTGGATTTACCCCTAAATGTCATTGGGACCACTGCCTGCCTACTTTCTCCCTTCTCCAGGTCTGAGAGGGCCTACCGCACAATGGCTCCACCACAACACTCTGGCAATAGTGGGCAGGCTGGCTCTTTCCTTCCTCTCACGTACGTGTTATTTCCCAGTGCCATCACTAAGGGCCACTTCACCTAGCTACAGCCAATCCTTGACTTAGCAACAGCTAATCCAGTGACATCACAAAGGGCCACTTCACCTAGCAACAGCCAATCCCTCACCTAGCATCAGCCAATCAGTGACACCACAAAGGGCCACTTGACCTAGCAACAGCCAATCCCTGATCCAGCAACACCTGATCCAGTTACATCACAAAGGGCCACTTCACCTAGCAACAGTCAATCCTTGACCTAGCGACAGCCAGTCCAGTGACACTACAGAGGGCCATTTGACCTAACAACAGATAATCCTTATTTATTTTATTTATTGATTTACTTTGCTTGTATACCGCAGTTTCTCAGCCCGTAGGCAACTCAACAAGAGCAAAAAGTCAATCCAACAACCTACAAAATTTAAAAACCATTAACAACATAATATACATGATAATAACACATCAATACCAACACATTAACAAATCGTGATCCAATTCGTCATCCATAATTCCGTTCCTATATTCCTTGACCTAGCAACAGCTGATCCAGGGACATCACAAAGGGCCACTTCACCTAGCAACAGCCAATCCTTGACCTACCAACAGCCATTCCAGTGACATCACATAGGGCCACTTTACCTAGCAACAGCTGATCCGGTGACACCACAAAGGGCCACTTGACCTAGCAACAGCCAATCCCTGACCTAGCAACAGCTGATCCAGTGACATCACAAAGGGCCACTTGACCTAGCAACAGCCGATCCTTGATCTATCAACAGCCGATCCAATGACATCACAGAGGGCCGGTTCACCTAGCAACAGCCAATACAGTGATATCATAGAGGGCCACTTCACCTAGTAACAGCCAATCCTTGATCTAGCAACAGCCAATCCAGTGACATCATAAAGGGCCTGTTTACCTAGCAGCAGCCTTTCTTGGACAGATAGACTGATGTACTTTTGATACACACTTTGACATTACAAACTAGATAATGGGATGAAAATATTAAATGAAAAATTGGGGCTGAAAAAAATAAAGCAAAAATACAGAAAGCAATGAAATACAGAAAATAATACGCTATGCGCCCCACATAGAAATGCAAAAACATGGATAATTCAAAACTATTGAAAGGAAAGACCTCTGATCCAAGAATATCATAGGATATTCCTGGAGAGGACATATTTAGGAGTCTAGTGTCTAGATCCAGGGAAGTCAGGCTACTCCTCTATTCTGCCTTGGTCAGACCACACCCCGAATACTGTGTTCAGTTCTGTGCACCGCAATTGAAGGGAGATGTTGACAAGCTGGAATGTGTCCAGAGGAGGGAGACTAAAAGGATCAAGGGTCTGGAGAACAAGCCCTATGAGGAGTGGCTTAAAGAGCTGGACATGTTTAGCCTGCAGAAGAGAAGGCTGAGAGGAGACATGAGGGCTATGAATGAATACGTGAGGGGAAGGCTGAGAGGAGACATGATGAGGGCCAGGTATAAATATGTGAGGGGAAGTCATAGGGAAGAGGAAACAGGCTTGTTTTTCCCTGCCCTGGAGACTAGGACGCGGAACAATAGCTTCAGACTACAGGAGAGGAGATTCCACCGGAACATTAGGAAGAACTTCCTGACTGTGAGAGGTGTTCAGCAGTGGAACTCTCTGTTGGAGCATGTCAGAAATTAGCTAATGTGTGTGGGTGAATCTCAGCTGTAAAATAAGATGCATGAAACTTTTTGGTCGGGGTTTGTGCGCTGAGATGGCTGAGCCTGGAATTTTTGGTTACTGTTACATTTTTCAGACTCGAGCTATGCACATACTCAGACAGAATAATAATAGTAGTAGTAATACTTTATTTATACCCCGGCACAATATTCCCAAGGGGACTCGGGGCAGCTTACATGAGGCCAAGCGTAACAATTACATCAAAGCAAATATACAACATAAAATAATATAGCAATAAAATATAATGAAAATAATTTTTAAAAAAGCAACACAAACTAAGCACACAATACAACATAAAATCACAATAGTGATTTTAGAAGCAGAAAGAAAAAAAGCAGGCCAGGAAGAGATAGACAGAGTTTGGAGTGTGCTCTTGCTTCATGAGTTGCTGAAGGAGTTTATCCATGTGAACAAAGAAAGACTATTTTAAATCTCTCATAAAATGACATTATGTGAGTTGATGCAACTGACCACATTGGACGTTGTTCTGAACTATGAAGAGTAAATTACTTGTTCTTTACTTTTCATCTGTGTGGCATTTTTTCTTTCTCTAGCAAGGCAGTGTGTGGGCTGATCAAACGTAAACTACATGTGGTTTATTTTTACATTACGCCACACTCTCTGCCCTGGAGTGTAGTGGAGGCTCCTTCTTTGGCGGGTTTTAAACAGAGGCTGGATGGCTGTTGGGGGTGCTTTGAATGCGATTTTCCTGCTTCTTGGCAGGGGTTGGACTAGATTGCCCACGAGGTCTCTTCCAACTCTATGATTCTATGAATTCTATTAATATGATTATTTTTCTAATCAGACCAACTGCTACCATTTCCACAAGTAAAAATCAGATGGGTATGCCTAAGTACTATTGAATTCAATGGAACTTTTCCCCATGTAAGTAGACATAGTGGTTGTGAAAGTCATTATCACAATTATCTAAATTGCAAGAAAAGCAAATATAGTAGTGTTTGGGATTGTAAACATTTCACAATCTACATCTTGCAACATTTCTGTCCAGAGAAGTAAAAGGAAACACAAAGTGGATGCAAGCGTTGGAGCTTCCTGAGGGCTCTTCGTCATGGATAAAGTATGATGGGATAAGAGGAAGCCTACGCAGACTTTCAAACCAGCTGCTGATGTGCAATTTTGGATTTAATTTTTAAAACAATGCTACTTGAAGCAATGATCTTTGGATCAGTGGTGGTCCACTAGCCATTTAACTCCTAGTTGGTTGGATTTTCAGAAAAGAATGGAACAATTGCAGCCAATGAGCACATATATGGTACCAGTCTTTGGTCCTTTAGGGAGAAATTGCCAGTCACCCACATGAGATAAATAATAATAATGATAATCATCATCATCATAATCATCATCTTTATTTATATCCTGCCAACATCTTTCAAAAGGGACTCGGGGCAGCTTACAAGGCACTACAAGTGTAGTCTATAACATAAACAGTACATGAGCATAAAAACAATATCACATAAAAGTTATAAAAACAACCACTATTAACACATAAACTAAAATAAAAACACAGTTTAAAACATAGACCATCTGTAGTTACAACTGGCTGCTTTGAAATCACAACTAAAGTACCAAAGTGTCAATGTCATATGGGCCCATTACAGCCTACTCGAGGCCAAAAGCCTGCTTAAAAATCCATATTTTTAGGCTGGTTCGGAAGGAGTCAAGGGTGTAGGCTAACCTAATCTCTTTTAGGATGATATTCCAGATCTGGGGAGCCATTACAGAGAAGGCCCTCTCTCTTGACCCCATTGAGATGGTGGGGAACCGAGAGAAGCCCCCCCCCCCCCCCCCATCTGATCTCAAACCCATGCCAGTTCAAAGAAAGAGATGCAGTCTCGAAGATAGGTTTGACCCAAAGCGTTTAGGGCTTTGTAGGTAATAACCTGCACCTTGAATTGAGCGTGGAAAATTGTTGGAAGCCAGTAGAGTAACTTGAGTAGGGCCATAGTATGTTCCCTATAGTTAGCTCCAGTTAGTAATCTGGCCAGAGAAATCTCAAAACAGAGTACCCTTGGGACTGAGTTATTAAACAGCAGAAGCCTACATTAGAAGAAGGTTTCACATTACTGGAACCAGAAGTTTTAACCTTTCCTCCTTTTCAACCACTCAGCAAAACTATCCAAGCTGATATTTATTGCCCTTTTTCTAGTCCAATAATACTCCCATTGAAGAAAGCTAAAGGTGTATCTTCTACACACATCGCTTAACTATGTACTACTGGACATAAAGCTTCTTCAAAGAATGCTTGCATAAGACTGGAATGTACAAGGGCAGTTATTTGAAGAGCGTTGAATTATCACAATCATGTTTGAGATAGCAATTTCAATCCTGCTAGCTTGGTATGTAGAGCAACCTCATTATTTTCTAGTGATATAGGTATAAAGTTCTCCCTGACAATCACTTCCTTCAGTAATACAGAACTTGGGGTTATTAAAACAATTACCTGGCTGATGTGATGTCATAGCATGCCATGTGGCACATTAAGTGTTTAACAAGTTTATGAAGCCTGAAATAAGCATATGGATACCACTGGAAGCAAACTGTTTCTGGTTCAACTTATTGGATTTAACAGGAATAGACATCACTCACCAGATGCTGTATCTCCTGGCCAGTAACTACGT